GCCTCTCAAAGTGCTGGGATTACAGGAGTGAGCCACTGTACCTGGCCTTCCCTTGCTTTCTTACTGATCAAAAATATTTATTGAGCATGCCATTCTGAAAACATTAAATTATTATCTTTTTTGTCCACTGAGGTAGGTACCATCCCCACTGCTACACAGACGAGGAGATCAAGGCTCGGTCGAGTCAAATGTCTTGCCCCATCTCAGAGGTCTTTTATGGCTGAGCTGGGGCTTAGACCCGCATCTGCCTCATTGCTTAGCCACAGATTCTCTACTGCCCTGTCTCGGTCATAGAAAGGAAGCTTTTCGGCTGGGCACAGTGGCTCATGCCTGTAATCCCAGCACTTTGGGAGCACAAGGTGGGCAGATCACTAGGTCAGGAGTTCGAGACCAGGCTGGCCAATATATGAAACCCCGTCTCTACTAAAAAAAATTAGCCAGGCATGGTGGCGGGTGCCTGTAATCCCAGCTACTCAGTAGCCTGAGGCAGGAGAACTGCTTGAACCTGGGAGGCGGAGGTTACAGAAAGCTGAGATTGCACCTTGCACTCAAGCCCGGATGACAGAGCAAGAATCTGTCTCAAAAAAAAAAAAAAAAAAAAAAGCTGAGTCCTCAAGTAATGGATGCCTCAATATCTCAGAAATCACCACTAAAGAACTTACTCGTGTAACTAAACACCACCTGTTCCCCAAAAACCTATTGAAATAAAAAAAAAAAAAAGGAAGCTCTTCAAATCACATTCCTCAGCATCACCATTATCAACCAGATGAAGAGAAGCTCTGAGGAGTAGACCAACTACGTGGTCCCCATCGCAAAGGCAGCAAGTGTCAGGGGGATCTCCAAGGAAGTGCTCTCCCTGACCCAGGAGGAATGCTCACTCTCCTCTACAGAGGCAGCCAGCTGGAAGGGCCCCTGACCTACTGTGATGATCCGGAAGTCAGTAGACATCTTGGGGATGTCTTTGGAGAAAAGGCTCCCCCTGCAACAGTACTGCTCAGGGAGTGAGGCAGGTGGAAGGGCCACACTGGTGGGTCCTGGTGAGAGGAGGAATAATGAGGAAACCCCAAATAATTCATATGATCTTTTGTTTAAGGGAGACATGAGTTACGTGTGTGGGCTACAAAGATGCTAACAGGTGCCAACAGTCAACAGGTTTTGCCAAACTCTGAAGACTGCAAGGCAGACCAGAGCCAAGTCCTGCAGCCAGACTTCTGGCAGAAAGGGTCCCTGGTGGAGGCCAGCAGTAGAAGCTGGGACCAGTTACAACCTGGCAATGTTGGCTCTCCAAGTGCTCAGGAATCTGGAATCAATGATAAGTGGAGATTCAGGCCGCATCTGTCCAGGGACGGGGAGAAGAGGAAAGAATGGGAAGGGAATTAACTTTTATGGCAGACTCACACATGCCAGGCACTTCACATGCTACCTCAATTAACACATGACATGGCAAGGAGCTTGGAGCTGTGTTTTAGCCATGTGCTGTGGAAGAAGAGAAGGCAGAACCCAAGTATTGATAAGCATCTGCCATCAACCTCACATAGGCTGACCCCCATGATGGGAAGCCCTCCGCCTTTTTTTTTTTTTTTTTTGAGAAAGAGTTTCACTCTGTTGCCCAGGCTGGAGGGCAAAGGCATGATTTCAGCTCACTGCAACCTCCCTCTCTTGAGTTCAAGGGATTCTCCTGCCTCAGCCTCCCAAGTAGCTGAGATACAGGCGCCCGCCAATACGCCCGGCTAATTTTTGTATATTTAGGAGAGACAGGGTTTCACCATGTTGACCAGGCTGGTCTTCAACTCCTGACCTCAGATGATCCGCCTCAGTCTCCCATAGTGCTTGGATTACAGGTGTGAGCCACTGTGCCCGGCATCCCCCCCACCTTTTTTTTTTTTTTTTAAAGGAAAGGGCCTTATCCGATGCCCCCGACAGAGTGCAGTGTGGTGATCATGGCTCACTGCAGCCTTGACTTCCAGGGCTCAGGTGATCCTCCACCTCAGCCTCCCAAGTAGCTGATACCATAGGCACATGGCACCACACTCAGCTTTTTTGTTTGTTTTGTTTTTGGAGAGATGAGGTTTCACTATAGTGCCCAGGCTGGTCTCAAACTCCTGGCCTCAAGTGATCCTCCATCTCAACCTCCCAAAGTGCTTGAGATCAGGAATGAGCCACCCCACCTGGCCAGAAAACCCCTTTTTAACTGTGGATTGAAGGGTAATCCTCAACTTCAACAAAATGTGAATTTGATCATTTCATAAATGCTGCTGGGGAAAATGGATAATTGTGAAATAAATTAAGATGAGACGTGTACATCACTCCCACTTCTTGATTTCAAAGGAGCTAATGGGTTAAATCATTTAAAACTGCCACAAAGATTATGGGAAAACAGAAACACATATGCACCTCAACTGTGGAGGAGTGACAGTTTTTTAACTAAAATTAGTAGAGACCATGACAGTCAGCTAAACAACAAGAACAAAAAAAGCAAGGGGCTGGAAAAATATGTAACTGATGAGTTTAGTGACCCAGTTAGGTGGGAGAGTAAATATAAACTATGAGGGAAATACGCAGCATCCAATGGACAGACAGATGGCCAACAACTTTGAGGCGCTTGGCAGAGGAGGGTCAAAAACTGAGGAACGTTTTAATCTTTATAGTTCTTAATGACATGCAAATACTGTATCACAGCCACAAAGACCCTAACTCTTACCGACAAATTTAGCAAAACTCAGTTAAAATGGTGAGGCTCAAGGCTGATCTATAGGAAAAACTCTGGCCATAAGAATCAGCTTAGTAGTCCAGAGGAAATCTGGCCTGACAACATGTATTCCTGTGCCCTGGGTGCACGCGTATCTCACCCCTGGGGACAGATCTCAAAAAAACTCAAGAGTGATAGCAATTCAAGAGCGAGACTACCTGTCTGCCCAGGTGCCTGCAGTTCTAGGAGGGTTACCTAAAATCCTGTGCTTGAATATTCTGTTACTCTAAGAAGGCAGAGAGACAAGGGAATTCATCATAAGTCTGCCATTTATTAGCTGTGTGACTTTGGATAAGTCACTTAACCTCTCTGAGCCTCAGTTCCCTCTTGTATTAAAATGGGGATAAATTGCCACCTCCTTAGGTTGTGTATTAAATGAGGTCATGGCTCTCAAGTGTCTGCGCAGTGCCCTGCATGGAGTGTTTGACAAGGGGTAGCTGTTGTTTTTGGAGGATGACCACTGGACGGATCCTGGAGACAGGTCCTGCTTGCAAAGGATAAAGTAACATCAGGAAGTCTCAGCAGTTTTCTGTCCTGAAGAGGAGCTGGTACCTTTGCCTCCCAGTTTATTTTTATTACAAAGTAAGAAAAAGGAAAATAAACCTCTGCCACAACTACTGAGGAGTCCACCAAAATGCAAAGGGAAGCTCTTCAGAGTGTTACATTGGTCTGAAGCTGAGAGGAAAATGCTGGGTGAGGCTCCCACTCCCACCCAACGGTTTGAAGATTGGGGTGTCCCCAAGGGTCTGGAATACACATTTTCTGAGGTGTGCTCTGTGACTTGGGTTTTATAATAGTGAGTTGGGAATTTTCACCTCCGTTTTGTTTTTGAGACAGGGTCTTGCTCTTTCACCACTGCTATGTAGAGTGACAGGATCATGGCTCACCGCAGCCTCGACCTCCCGGACTCAGGCGACCCTCCCACCTCAGCCTCCTCAGTAGCTGAAACTACAGGCATGTGCCACCATGCCTGACTAATCTTTAAAAATTTAGATGGGGCCTCCTTATGTTGCCCAGGCTGGTCTCAAACTCCTAGGATCAAGTGATCCTCCCGCCTCGGTATCCCAAAGTGCTGGGATTACAGGCGTGAGCCACCTCCGTTTTGAAAGAGAGAAAACCTGCCCAAGGTCATAAGTCAAGAGACCCCCTAAGGCAGGTCCCCAGAGTCCTGCTACTAACCACTGCACCTTTCTGCCTTCTGCTGCCCCGCTAAGAGCGACTCGGGTTCCTGGCAGGCGCCCGAAGAGCTACAGGAGGGAAGGTCTCGGAAGGGAGGGCTGGGCTGGAGGCAGGCCTCCAGTGCTGGGGGGTTGAGGGTCCTGGGTTCCCTCCCACCCGTTCGATTCCGGGAGCCCCTGGGGCGCGCCCCGCTGAGCCGCCCTCCTCCCGCCAGCAGGGGGCGCCGAGGAGAGCGCGGGAGGAAGGCAGAGCCGACGCCGCTCCTGGAGTCGGGACTCCGGGGTCCACACCAAGGCTGTCGCTCGCCCGCTGGTCCGCAGCGAGGCTCTGGGACGAAAACCGGGCGGGACGCAGGACCCTGGACCCAGGCGAGAGGCCCATCCCGCAGCGCCGCCGCCCCGGTCCGCGCCTGCCCGGAAGCGCGGGCGCTGAGGGGGCGGGGCCGGGAAGCGCTTCCGGGGGCGGGGGGCGCGGGCTGGGGCGGCAGCCGGAGCGGCGGGGACGGGCCTGGCGCCGGCGGCGGCGGAGGGGGCGCCGCGGGCGGGCGATGTGAGCGCGGCGCTCTGGGCAGGTGAGGCACGCTGTCCGGGGGCGGTGAGCAGCGGGCTAGGCGCGGGCGGGGCCGGCGGGGTGGGGGGCAGTCCCCGGGCCGCTGTCCGGCTCCCTCTGGGCGCGGCGGGGCGGGCGCCTCCGCGCCTGGTCAGTCCAGCGGGCGGGCGGCCGGCGCGAGCGGGAGCCGAGGCCGGGCGGGGTCCGGAGGCCCGGGCACCTGCTGGGGTCAGGCGCGCGCCCCAGAGGGGCCAACTGTGCTCGGTCCTGGAGTCCGGGCGCCTCTGGCCCGGCCGAGGGTCGCGGTCGGGCAGCTACGCTGGACTCCCCAGCCTCCGCCCGGGGCGTCTCGGGATCCCCAGCTTCCGGGCGCCTCGCTCTGGGGGCGCTCGCTTTTGTACAGGAAGGGAGGGCAAATGGTTGAGTTCCCTGGAGAGCCGGCCGGGCCGGGGGTCGGCCCGTCGGGTGGCTGCAGAGGACACTGCCTCACACCACCGCCTTTCTCCAGGTAAACAGGCTGCGGCGACGGGTTGTGCTTGGCCCCAGACGTCTCCATGGTCACTGGCGCTCAGTTGGTTCTGCCATTGCGGAGGGCTGGGCTGGAGCTGACCAGGGGTGTAAACAGTGCTCTTCTAGGCCAAGTGGCTGTGCTTGTAGGGCGACACTAGTCCGGGAGTCTCTGTCCTGAGGCTTTCCGGAAGACACTTCCATGCTGGACTCAGTTTCCCCATGTGATCATTGAGGATTTCAGTGAACTCTCTAAGAACCCTTCTGGCTCTGTCATTCCATGTATGTCTCAAATTGGAAGGGCTGTCCCTGGTTCAAGATACTGGGCAGTTTCGCTGAAGACTTTGTCAGTCAGTGTGGACTTTTTAAGCCACTTACTGCATTTTGTTTCAGACAGGCTTTAAAATGATTTCAAGAAGCGCTTTCTAAACCTCACCTTAATCCTCTTTCATCCCTTGCTTTTGTCCCTAGTAGTAATCACATTCCGTCGAGTTTTTGCATGCAGAATTTTTTGTTGTTTATATTTGCCCATTTTCTCTTTGTTCCCTAGTCCAGGCCCTCTTTGCTTCACATCTGGATTATTGCAACAGCTTCTTAGCTGGTCTCTGACTCCAGAGGTTTCCCCCTCCCCCATCCTTCCTTTATGCTAAAGCCAAACTTACTATAGGAAGTCAAAAAATAGTTGAGTGCTTGCTTGCTTATTAAATGTCAAGATGCTGTTCCATGTGGTGGGAAAGTAGTAGAAAGCACACTTAGTCTCCAAGCAGGTTTACACAGGGTGCTGAGACATTACCTGTGAACAGGTGATTTTGGAGACAAGGCCGTGTGCTGTAGAATTAAGAAGGAGAGATGGAGGTCACTGTAGGCCGAATGGTTAGGGAGGGCTTAGTGAGGGGGCGGGATTTGAGCCGGGTGTTAAAGGATGAGTAGCATTCAGATAGGAAAATAGGAATCAGGCCCAGTGATCCTATGGAGTTAGTGAATAGACCAGTCTCCTGGCAGAGAAGGGTTCATACAGGAGGGAAGTAGGAGGAGAGGTCGTTCGGGGCTAGTTCCTCAAAGAACTTGAACACTAGGTCAAAGTTGAAACTATACTGAAGGCATCAGTGAAGAAGCTAGAGGCCGGGAGATCAACTAGGAGGCCTTGGCAGTTAGACCCCTGTTCAAAGCTGAGTGGTGGCCTCTTGCCTGCCACGGTGTGTCCAGCCACCGCCCACCCTGTCTTTTCAAGACTCTGTGGTTTGGCCCCACCCCACCTACCTGAACCTTATTATCTGCTTCTCCAAGTCTGTCTCCTGCAGAACTGAATTAGTTACTGCTGCTTGGGCTTTGCTTCTGTTGTTCCCTCTTCTGAAGCACTGGCCTCCTTTTTCTTTTATGTGCAAATTCTCCATTTCACTTCCTTCAAGCCCCTGCTGAAGATACACTTCCTCCAGAGGGTGTTCCCTGACTGCCCTGCCCCCATGGCTTTGTGGCACTCAGATTCAGCACTTGTTTCTTGGCTGTTGAACTTGTTCTTGTCCCAGCTGGAGTGGGAGTTTTTTTGAGGGCGTTGTGTCTTAATACTTCTCTCAGAGCCCTTACAGTATCTAATACTGGGGCTGGACTTTCATAATAGGTACTCAAATACTTCCTGATTTTTGTTGGCAAACAACTTTTTTTTGGGGTTTGTATTGTAATTTGCCTTTTTTTTTTTTTTAGGGGAATCTTATTAGCTTTCTGTGTCATATATAACATATAGGGCATAATGTCATTCAAGGTGGATGTTTTCAGCTTTCTTAGGGTGCAGAAAGCACAAAACGAATCTTTGAAACTTTAAAACATTTACCTCTGATCTTGAGAAAAGAGGAAAGTCATGTGATTCTTCATTCAGAGGCTGTGGGGAAAGAACAACAGCATTGGAATCAGACAGACCTGGGTTTGAATCCTAGCAGGTGTACACCAACTCTGTGAACTGGAGCAATTTCTCTGATGTCTCTGAGCCTCCATTTTCTTATTTGCAGTGTGGACAATAATAAAATCCATTTCATAGGGTTACTGTGAACTGTAAACAAAAATGGTATATGGACGAAGTAGCAAAATTTGCAGCACGTAGTAACTGCTTAGTACATTTTCATTATTATTGTTGTCATTATTGGGTGTACGTTTATCAGGGTGGAGAAGTAATCAGCCACTAAACTGTGATCTACTGAGTTTTGGATTTCTGCATGTCTCTGCATTTCCCCCCTTTTGCCTTCCATTTGAAGCACTTGTCTAAAATGTCAGTATCATGAATCTAGAATGCCATCATTACGTTTTATTCCCACTAATGTTCATGTTACTTTAGGTTAAATTCTGCCTAATGTTTTTCAAACTTCTTAATTGTGTCTATTTAATGTTTTGTAGCTGACAAACTGCTGAATTTAGCTTAGTGAAGGTCATCAACTGAACGCAGTTAAATTTCTAATGGTTGTTTTCTGGTTGATATTGATGGCAAGGAAAACCTCATGGAAGAATGCAAGTCAAGGTGAGCTTTTCTAATCCTTTTGTCATAAGAGGCAGGATTTAGTGTATTTTCCAGGGCCATTGCCCCTGAAATGCTAGCCAGCAGTAAGCAGATAAGATGCTGTGCCTTAATATTTTTGAGTTCTTTGCCTTAAGAAAGCTTATTCTTTTACCTCAAACAAATCCTTCCAATCAATGATTAAAATAAGAAACATATTTTTGCCGACTTCACTGACAGAACAAAAAGAATGGGCATTTTGCAAAGCAATGGCTGCAAACCACTTGGAGTACAACATGTTGTGACCCCTTAATCATCACCATGTCAGACCCAGCCTGACTTTATCTGTGTGGTGGAACATCCTTAAATGAGAGTTCTCTTTCTACTCGGAGTTGATCAGTAAGAATCCAGCACCAGTAAAAATACTGCATCTCACCAGTATGCCTGGATTAAAATCTTTTTCTTATAAGAGTTCTGAGTCTGAGACTGACAAATCTAGGTCCAAATCCTGGCTCAGCGAGTCATTAGCTGAGTGACCTTGGCTAAGTTTCTCAGCCTCTGAGTTTGCTGCCTCATCTATAGAATGGGGAGAAATGCAGCCTTTTAGTGTTCTCTAAGAGCTCACTTAGCATACTGTACACTGTAGGAGCTCACTGACGGTTAGTCCTTGTCATTGTTAGGAAAATTAAAGAGGCCATTCCGCTCCTGCTTGGAAAGCTCAGAAGAAGCTTCTGATGATGTTTTTGCATTGACTAAAAGACAAATCGCACCCTCTTGGAATTAGTGTATCTGAGCAGACCTGGAGAATGTTAACGCCTTGGTAGGAAATGTAACAGTTTGGATAAAAATGTTCTTTCAGGCTCACATGAATTAATGCAGTAAGAACTCTAAACTTGTTTTCTTTTAAATTAGGATGAGTGCTTCATGAATATCCATCACAGAATGCCATTTTATTTATTTTTTTTTCTTGCTTTGGGTTTCAGTAGCACCAGAATGTTTCACGCAGCCCTGGTGCTATTTGACTACTGCTTTCTAAAAGATTAGATTGTAGCTCATGACAGCTCAATTTTGGTTTTAATCTAGACCCAGGCAGAAATACCTAGAAAAGTTATTTTTACGTGGTTGTTACTTCTGTTACCATGCCTTTGTCTCCAGTGCTTCAATCTGTGGTCTTTTTAATGACTTCATATAAGAATGAAAATTAGGGATCTTCAGGTTTCCAGTGTCTGACAGAGAAAGCCTAGTTTGAGCTGTGTCTCAGGTATCAGCCAGTGACTGAAGCCAGCAGGTGCAAATCTGGGTTTGGAATCATGAGCATCTTGATTGAGAATAATGGGTACCTCCTGGTGCCTTAAACAACTTCCAAATTTGTAACTTTCCTTTCTTTTCTTGGAAGTGTAACTGGATATTTTTAAACAAAGTATAGCATCTTGTGGCGCAAATTAGAGTGTTTATGGGTTAGGTTGGAATAAGCCACCTTGCTAGGTTTTGCGGTTGGCAGAGACTTCTGGGGTCTTCAGAAGAAGTTGAGAGCGGAGAATGCAGCTATAGTGGCAGTCCAGGGCTTTTGAACCACCAGCTTGGTTTAGCTGACACGTACTGAGAGCCTGTCTGTACCAGACACACTGCTGGGCTCTGGGCACACAGTCCCTGCCTCAGAGAGCCCACCACCAAGAGTGGCAGCCCAGCAGCGCAGAGTCTCACAGAATCAGCACACTTACATTTGTTTAGCCTTTACATTTTTACTTTTGTTCTGGTTGTTGATATGCAGAGACAGTTCCAAGACTTCACCCAAGAATGTTGTAGAGAAGATTTTATGGCCCAGGTGGGTATTTTGCCCAGATGGCATCTGAGAGTCCTTTCTTATTTTTTGGTTCTCTGCAGAATGGGTCAGCAGTGTGAGAGGATGTCACTAGTTTTCCATTGTTTAGTTTCCTCACAACTTGACAGAATACGTGGTGCAGAATTTTATTTAAAGATACTAGCCAGTGGGGCTGGGCGTGGTGGCTCATGCCTATAATCCCAGCACTTTGGGACACTGAGGTAGGCAAATCACTTGAGACTGGGAGTTTGAAACCAGACTGGTCAGCATGGTGAAACCCCATGTCCAATAAAAATACAAAAATTAGCTGAACATGGTGGTGTGTGCCTGTATTCCCAGCTACTAGGGAGGCTGAGGCATGAGGATCACTTGAACCTGTGTGGCAGAGGTTTCAGTGAGCCGAGATCACACCACTGCACTCCAGCCTGGTCATAGAGCAAGACTCTGTCTCAAAATAAAACAAAAGCAAAAACAAAACTAGTCAATAGAAAGGCTTGAGGAGAGGGCTAGGTGAGGATGTTACCCCTTTTCATCAGGTGCTGTGTTTCCATACTCTTTTCTAGGAGCAAACACCCTTTCTATTCTCAGCCTTCTCTCCTTTTCTCTTTTTTTTGGAAATGGAGTCTCGCTCTTGTTGCCCAGGCTGGAGTACAGTGGCACAATCTCGGCTTGGCGTGATCTCAGCTCACCCCCAACCTCCACCTCCTGGGTTTACATGATTCTCCTACCTCAGCCTCCCGAGTAGCTTGGATGACAGGCATGTGCTACCACACCTGGCTAATTTTGTATTTTCAGTAGAGACAGGGTCTCACCATGTTAGGCTGGTCTCGAACTCCTGACCTCAGGTTATCTGCCCACCTCGGCCTCCCAAAGTGCTGGGATTACAGATGTGAGCCACCCCTCCTGGCCCTCTTTTTTTTTTTTTCTCCCTGAGTAACCTCATTTTACCCCAACAGTCCTGGGGTCAGGTTCCAGGTACCAGTCAGTACATGGTCACTCCCAAATCAGTATCTCCGGGTCTAATACTTCTCTCTAGCTCTAACCCCATTTCCCACGACCCTGTGAAAAACCTCAGCCCAGCTTGTCCTGGCTGAGCTACTTGGCCTCCAAGTAGACATCATGCCTCAGTCTCCAAGTGCTGCCATCAGAATTCTGTTTGAATTCTTTGAGTATTCAAGGCCCTCCACCTTCTGACTGTGACCTTCTCCTTCCATGGCTCTCCTTGTCCCTGAGCCAGGGCCACTGCATGCTGCCTGCTCTACCCGAGACGCCGCCTGTCTGCACTCCCCTGTGCTCTGTTCCTGCCTTTCCTTCTGTCTGGAATGTTCTTTCTGTTCCCTTTGAAACGCAAGGCCCTGTTCAAAAATATCTTCCTCCGTGAAGTTTTCCTTTGTTCTATTTTGATTTTTTAAAAATCTTTTTGGTCTAAAGTAATCAGCCTTATATTGTTTCTTGTAGTTCTTTGTTTCTGCCTCTGTAAGTGTCTGCTTGATACAATAATTATTCATTTGCCACCCATCTTTCTCCTCTAGATTCTCTGGTTTAAAAAATTATATATTTGGCTGGGCGCGGTGGCTCAAGCCTGTAATCCCAGCACTTTGGGAGGCCGAGG